CCTGTCCTCACAGCAGAGCTGCTCCAGTCCCCTGGAACAATAAATACCAATAAATCCAGTAAAAGCCAGTTCCAGGTTTCCCATCATCTCTTCCTCCTATAAAAGTCCCTGATGTTGGTGATGTGCTTCTCTTCCACAGCTCCGAACGAAGCTCTCCTCCCAGGAGATCCAGCAGTTCGCCATGCTCCTGCACGAGTATCGCAACGGGGCGTCCATCCACGAGTTCTGCATCAACCTGAAGCAGCTCTATGGGGACAGCAGAAAGTTCCTGCTCTTAGGTGAGTGTCATCTGCCAGGGATTGATCGTGGACACAGCGCTGAGGGACATGGGTTAGTCGGGGACTGGTCAGTGTTGGGTTCATGGTTGGACTCCATGAGCTCAAAGGGCTTTTCCAATCCAGACCATTCTGGGATCCTGTGAGTTGGGGTCTCTGGCCTGTGGGGAGACAGGTCTCAGGTGGGTGCTGAGCCAACCTGCCCCCCAACCCCATATTCTAACCCTGGGGGGGGTTCAAACCTGGCCAGGCTGGATGAGGCCAGGCTGGATGAGGCTTTGAGCAACCTGGTCTAGTGGAAGGTGTCCCTGCTGCTGGCAGGGGGGTTGGGACTGGAGGAGCTTTAAGGTCCCTTCCAACCCAAACCAGTCTGGGATTCGATGATTCAAACAGCTCAGGGACCAAACCCCAGCTGCTTTATGTCGCTGAAGAACCACATTCTCCTGGGGCAGAGCTGCCACTCCCCACAGGTCTGACGATGTGAGGTGGAGAGGTGGGGAGCAGCAGATCTTCTACCCAAGCTCAAACCATGCTGGAAAACTCCTCTGAATACTTTTCTTTCAGTTTTAGAGTCATTTTGGTTGTAAAAGACCTTTAAGATCATCAAATCCAACCATTTTTGATTGCCCACAGTTTTTTTCCAGTAGCAACTGGAGCCCTAAAGCTGAGACTGATGCTGAGAAATGGGGGGAATATCTCATTTTTGACCAGTAAGGACACACACCACCAGGGTAGAGGTGGGTAAGGGAGAGAGATGATGCTCTGTACCTGCAGCTGGAGCAGGATGGGACCCATCTGGAAGAAGAGACATTTAAATCACCTTCACTTCAACATTTACTGGTGTACCTCTAAGTACAAAAGCAAAATTAAGAGGAAAAACCAGTTATTTAAATATTAAAACCCCAGTTATTCAAATTCCTCAGAGGAGAATTAACAGTGTCCCCATGTCCCTCTCTGCTCGGTGGCAGGTGACACCCACCCTGCTTGTGCTTCAGGCACCAGCTGACACCGTGATGGCCGTGAGCTGGGTCAAGCTGAGCAATATGTGTCCGTGAGGAATGAGCAGTTGATCCTTTTGAGCTCCCAAAATCCCATTTCTGCAGGATTTTGTCCTTGGTGGGCAGCAGCTGCAGTTCTCGCAGGTCTAAGTGGGTGATGTGGCCATGAGCTGGAGCTCCAGTTGTCCCTCTCCACCTAAAACAGGCTCCTCCAATGTTCCCCGTGTGTTTTGTGGAGCTGGAGCAGGACATTCCAGCTGGATTTGGTGTCTGGGTTCTGCTGGGAGGTTCAGAAGCTCCAGGGAATTCCCAACAGCTGAGGAAATCCACATGGAAATCTCTCCTGGGTGTCTCCTGCGTGGTCACGTCGTATGGAACACCTGACACCACTCGGGGTTTCCTCCTCATTCTTTGGGGAAGGGTTTAGAGAGGAAGGGTGTGAGGAGAGGCTGAAGGCACTTGGTTTGTTCAGCCTGGAGAAGAGGAGACTGAGAGGAGATCTCCTGGGGGTCTAGAACTTCCTCCCAAGGGGCAGAGGAGGGGCAGGCGCTGATCTCTTCTCTCTGGCCACCAACAAATGCCAGGAGCAGAGGGAATGGCAGGAAGATGTGGCAGGGGAGGGTGAGGTTGGCCATGAGGAAAAGGTTCTTGAGGCACCCAGAGGGTGGTGGAGCACTGGAACAGGCTCCCCAGGGAGGTGCTGATGGCACCAAGCCTGACAAGATTCCAGCAGCATTTGGCCAAGGCCCTCAGGGACATGGTGTGAATGTTGGGCTTGTCCTGTGCAGGGACAGGAGTTGGACTCCAGCATCCTGGTGGGTCCCTCCCAGCTCACAACAGCCCATGATGTTCTTCCCCTTCATCCAGGTCTTCGTCCCTTCATCCCTGAGAAGGACAGCCAACACTTTGAGAACTTCCTGGAGACCATTGGGGTGAAAGATGGTCGGGGCATCATCACAGACAGTTTTGGGAGGTACAGGAGGACGCTCAGCACCACTTCCAACTCCACCACCAATGGCAACGGCGCCGCCGACGGCAGCTCGGATGATCAGTCCGTCCCCTCAGAAGAGGACGAGTGGGATCGAATGATCTCACACATCAGCAACGACATCGAAGCCCTGGGCTGCAGCATGGACCGGGATTCCTCCTGAGAGGGAGTTGGGCTTGGACCACCCTGGCATCTCCCACCACCGGGATCATGCTGGGATCCCACC